GTATTCGTCCCGTGCGATGCACGGAAAATATGTTATAAAAATATACCTATATGAGGTTTATTCATATATAAAATTTTTGTTATTTAATAATTATTATGTGTGAATTCCTATGATAAAATTATGAACATAAATATATTTACAATTAAAATAATATTTAAGGTGGGTAATTACTACAAATCTTAAACTATATTTACAATTAAAATAATATTTAAGGTGGGTGATTACTACAAATCTTAAACTATATTAAAAGTTTAGTACATAGTATTTAATATTACAAATTTTTAAGAACTAAGTAAACTACAATAGTAATTGAATTACAATTTTAGAGTCACCACGGATCAAAAAATTTTAGACCTTTTTGAGATTTCTAACTCTAGATGTAGCAACATACAATTGACCTTTAAAGACCAAAATCACAATCTTAGTTCGAATATTGATTTTTTCTTCCAAATACTATCGAATTAAGTGTATAATCAATAAAAGATGAGAACTAATAATTCGAGAATATAATCTTAATGTTACTAAGCCACTTCACGTCAATTAAGTTGGAGAGTGTTGTTGGATAGTATCCGATGAATCCACGAATAAAGCATCTTTGTCTCCGTAGTCCTCAATATGCACATCAACAATCTTAAATATTATGTCGCCTAGCTATGTCATATATTAATTTCAAACTTATAAACTTTGGGGTTGCATGCAAGAAAAAGTATATTTTAAATATACTAAGGGTACATTATATATGGAATTAATTTCACTTTTGGTCCCACGACTTTTGATGTTCTATCACTTTTGGTGCACAACTTTAAATTTTTTTAATTTTGGTGCCTAACTTTGTTATTTTTATCAGTTTTGGTCCTTCCAGCCAAATTGAAAGTAAAATATTTCTGGATTTTATATTTTAGGGGCAAAATCGTCATCCCATGGAAAGATCTTCAATATTTAAACAAAAGAAAAACCATATTAAGAGGAAAAAAAGAGTTTGCCAATGGTCGAAACTATAAATCCCATAGATCTGTCTAGTTTCTGCCTGTCTTCCACATTATTCTCATCATCAAACACATATAGATATGATTTTACAGGATGATTTTGTTTAGATATTGAAGATGTTGCCTTGGGATGATGATTTTACCCCTAACAATATAAAATCCAGCAACATTTCGCTGTCAAATTCGCCAAAAGGACCAAAACTGATAAAAATAACAAAGTTAGGCACCAGAATTAAAAAAATTTAAAGTTGTGCACCAAAAGTGATAGAACATCAAAAGTCGTGGGACCAAAAGTGAAATTAATTCTTATATATGTATGTAAGGTACTTTCAATATAAAAATAATGTATTTTTAATATATTAAAAATGTATTTGATATTCATGATCCATACAATTATGTGGACCATCGTTCACACAATAATTTGCCAGTAGAAATTGAAATATAAATAAATATAATAAATAAATAAATAAATAAATAAATATATATATATATATATATATATATATATATGGTTGCATTCACATGAAAACTACCTTAAAATACAAACGTGCAGACAGAAAATAACCATTAGATTTGCTAAGATGAACGGATTAGATGCATTCCCTCAATTGGCACACGGATTGCTAACTTCTAATTAAAAACTACCATAAATAACCAACTAATTTAAAACTACCATAAATAATCAACAAAATCCTGTACATCCAACTTAAAAAATCAACGACCCAGATGAATCCACACTATTTGTATTTTAAGCACTGTTTGTATCTGAATAGAATCCTATATATATATATATATATATATATATATATATATATATATTAGAAACTGTATGTGGAAATTATTATCATTATTATTATTATTATTATTATTATTATTATAATTAACAATATTATTATGGTTTTGTGAAAATTAAATGTTGAATCAACATTTAATTTACACAATAACAATATTATTATGGTCTTGTGAAAATTAAATGTTGATTATCACCATTTAATTTTCACAAGACCATATGGCTTTATTATATATAGGATAAATTTATAAAGTTAACTTTATGAGTTTGAATATTCACATTTGTTTTTTTAATGTATTATAATTTCTCTCTCTTATTTTATACAAAACATTGATGTTGTGTTATTCTCAATAATTTGGTTTCATTAATTTTGATTACTTGTTCCAATTATAACTCAATTAATAATTAATAACAGGTAAACGTTATAATTTCATAGCCATTGCAACATTCTTCAGAATATCATAAATTATTTTCAAGAAAAGATACAAAATGTTGAATATCATAAATTAATTATTATCATGTAATTTATTCTTATAACTAGCATTTTGTACGCGCGATGCGCGAAAACTTATGCCCAATATTAAAATATTGTTAAGTAATAAAATTTAAAAAATTAGTTAAAATTATGTTTCACAATTCCTTAAAGTGATCCAAACAATATATATATATATATATATATATATATATATATATATATATATATATATATATATATATAGAGGCGGGTTCAGGTGCGGCAGTGTCTTACGGTGCGGTTATTTCTTACGGTGCGGCAACACCAATAGTTCACCAAATATGCACCATCAACGTTAGGAAATACACCACACAAAACAGAGTAAACAGAGCCCTGCATCACCAAACACACACCATTAGGTGTGAGTAAAAACACCATACACTGTTCGGAAATACACCATTGGGGGTGGTGAGTTATATGGTGTGTTTTTTTGAGTCTGTGGTGTATTTTGTGATGTTTTATTACATTTCATTGGGGTGTGTTTTTATTACACTGTTGGTGTATTCTGGAATTTGACCGCACCGCCGCACCGTAAAACCCCGCCGCATATGAGCGCTCTTCTATATATATATATATATATATATATATTATAATAATAATTTATAAATAATACTAAGCTAACACCCACATATATGATATATTGATATGTATACACACATAATATATATACATATTATTTATAATTAAAATTTAATATTCATATAAATATTTAATTAAAATATAATTTATAATTAAATTAATTGTTATATGATAATTTTAATAAAATGATAACTAAAAATAGGAAAAAGATATGATAGATGTAGGTGTATGGTAAGATTGGTGGACATATTAAATACTAACGGTGTTATAACGGTGTAAGGGTAATTTTGTCCAATACAAATCAAATGTACAACAATTAAAGCAAGATGTATATATTTATTAGCATATAAAAAAAGGACAAAAATCAAGGACATAACTTGTATTGACACTTATTATGTTTTTAGATTAAAAACAAAAGTTATTATGTGAACTAATAATTTTTGAAAAAAAAATACTAATATGTAGGGCATGATTAATTACATTCTCATAATATTTGCTTTAATTAATTATTACCATATTGTTTTTTTCATATTAATAATGAAAAGGAAAGCAATTATTTAAGCAAAAAATAATAAAATGACTAATATATATGGTGTGATTAATTAGATTGTCATAATCTTTGTTTTGATACTACTAAGGAATTAAGGGTTGAACATTTGGCTAAGAACCTTGTGGTCCTTTCAAACAAAAGGTTACAGTTTTGAGTCACATTTCAATCAAGGATGTTGATATATCATGTTGTTGAGCATGTACAACGAATAAGTTAATTTAATAAAGAATTATAAGCTCTAACATAATGAAAATATTTAATTTGAATTGACATATATAACGCTTTTATATGAAGATATAATAAATTTTTATTTTTTTTCTGAGGCATAGCCTCTATTTCCTCACCAATTTTTATTTTATTTTATATTTTTCATGAAACTTGAAGGCATGTTGTTTTCATAAAATCATAACAAAAATTATGTGAAAATAATTTGAGGTGGGAATGATTTATTTTTTTTTATACAGATGGGAATGATTAGTCAATCTAACATTCTCCATTTCTCCTCATGGACCACTTATTGAGCAATTATTACAATTTTGATTATTAATAATCGTGCGATTATTTATTTTCAAAAAAATAATCGTGCGATTACGATATACCCCAAAATATGCATGTGATTAGGTGCAGCTGTAATTTGCTAATTATTTTCTCATATATATATATATATATATATATATATATATATATATATATATTCTTCTCCCGAACTCCAATGGTCCCTTACACCCTTACCCGACAGAGCATTTGGAATGATGTAAATCACGATAACTAAATAGCTTAACAGACATTACCAAATGTCAGTGTATACAAGAAATTTGTCCACTTTAGACATAATCCAAAAAAAAAAAAAAAGATTTTTGGAATCCCTAAATCTATAATAATATTTGAGCGGGTTCAGGAATTGTTGTGCTCACAATATGAACCTGGTCATTTGTAAGTCAACAAAAGAAAACTAATCACAGAAGTTTTGCATAAAAACATGAGAAAACAGGTGCATCAAACCGTCCAGTTGGTCAATTTTGGCATTTTCGCACCACCTACATACATACCAAACAATCAACGCCTGCTTTCTAGTTTTAATGTTTTGTTTTTAGGACTGATTTCGTGCCCGGATCAACGCCACTTCCTTTCCATTTTCTCAAATGCCATAAACCAATCAACATTGCCATTTATGTCAAAATATTTTATTTTCTTCTCTTCTCTTTTTGAAAAAGAAAAAATATTAACTTTACTTTTAATCTTTAAAATACACAAAAATAATTAAATAATTCATGATATAAGAACAACTTAAATTATATATTATTTGTTTGTGATTTTTTTTAAAATACTACTAACTGTATTACACTGTAGCATTTAAAGTCAACATTGCCTCTTTCCCATATGAAACGATGAAAATGAAGAAAAAGAAAAATGAAAAGACTAGTCAAGTCAACGCGTGGTAATCATAAAAACGACCTCACGGAGGCTTCCCTACTCCTCACTACACCCGATAGTTCACTCTCACCGGAAGGGCATTGTTGTAATTGTATCCTATCCACCACCGTCCCCGCCTGGCGCCTGCCACAGACCCCACCCACCCTAGCCGAGCCCCCTCTCTCTCTCTCTCTCTCTCACTCTCACACACCTTTAGGCTTAGTTCCAAACAAAATCTCCCTCCACCTTCCTCCACCCATCGCCGCCACTGTAAATCCGCTCTGAACTCCAAAAGCTCCAAAGCACTAAACACCAATATTTTTTTTCCGCATAAAGAAACAAAAGCTCCGCATATTTTGATTATTTTCATCATCTCTCTCTCTCTCACCTCCTCAATTTCATAGCTGACCTGTCACTCCCCTTGCCAACTCACGCACATACATACATACATACAGAATTGACTGTGTGTTGTATATATAATCGGTTCTGATTTCTGTTGATGGATGGATTTGTTGATTGATGCGCTGTGAGGAGGAGTTGAAGTTGTGGTGGTGTGATGGCGGCGGACGACGTCGTTCCGAGCACTTTCAGAGCGTTGGTGGAGACTGCGGAGAAGAAGTTTGCTAGGGTGAGGGACTTGCCGGCTTACGGCGGTGGCGCGCCCAGCGCCCACTATTTTCACAAGGTGTTCAAGGCCTACATGCGGCTGTGGAAGTACCAGCAGGAGAACCGGTCCAAGCTCCTCGACTCGGGGCTGCAGCGCTGGGAGATCGGCGAGATCGCGTCCCGGATCGGTCAGCTCTACTTCAGCCAGTATATGCGCACTAGCGAGGCTCGCTTCCTCCTCGAGTCCTACATCTTCTACGAGGCCATTCTCAACCGCAAGTACTTTGACGGCTCCGGCAACAATCGCACCGCCAGGTTCAAGGAGTTGCGCTTTTACGCCAGGTTTTTGATGGTATCCTTGATTTTGAACCGTTATGAGATGGTCAAACTCCTCGTTGACCGCTTCAAGGCACTCGTCGACGATAGCAAAGCCGCTTTTCCGGTATGCAAAATTTCACTCCCTCCCACCCTCCCTCCATGTATTTCTATCCTGTTTCTTTGCACTTTTATTTTTTTGGTTGACATTGAGCTCTAATTAGCTGAATTTGGAAGTTACTCCGTATTAAGTAATTTTGCAGTACACCTCCACCTTCCTTCCTTCATTATTATTATTATTTTTTTTTTTTAATTTTCTGCTGAATTAGGCCGTCTTGTACACTGCAATACCGGTACTATTTATTTATTATTTTTCCATACGGAATAGTATTTTAGAGGATAGCAATTAGCACTAAAGTAGAATAGAATCCAGAAGAAAAATTCTTTCACAAAATGATTTGACGTTTCATTTGATGAGTTGTTACAGTTTATTTGATATAGTACAGGAGTCGGTGTCTCCAACTAGCTTATGGAATAATTTAGAAATCCAAAGATCAGAAATCAAACTTCATACTTCAGGGATTAGGTAGTTGTGTTTTTATTTGAATGGGGTGGTTTTTATCATTGTCAGACTCGGATATCTTTCAAGATGATCCTTGTTTTTGGTTGAGTTATTTTATGGAGCATCATTTGCACATATTTGTTTTTGTACTTGCAAACTCATTATTTCTCTTAAGAGACTTACTGAAGTAAGCTTTCCAATGTGGGTAGATATTTTTCAAGCATGTGCTTGTCATGTTCTTTTTCAACTTGTAGTGACTGCCCCTTTAACTATATTTGAAGTGCACTAGTGAGGGGAAATTGCATTCATATATGTTGCTCTGCCCCATTTGTCTTTTCAATTGTTACTTTTTGGCAGAAGCAACATATGCATACACAGAGGTTTGTAAATGTTTTTTCTTGCTGTAGCCACTTCTAATTACTTGATAAATTGCAATATATGTGTCCATATAGCCACAGTGTCTTGACAAGCAGTCAAGAACATGCACAAATAGGATTCAGAAAGATGAGAATCATGATATGAATTCATTACCCTGTATCAGTTTCAAATTCCATTTCCCATGTCATAATAACTTGGATAAAACTTCAGTGCATGTGCATTCATGCATGCACACAATGCTTATGATATTTGACTTCAAAAACATACTATTTCAGTGTGGAAACTTTTGTCTGCCTGGCTGATTAAGAGTGTCAGTGCAGGGTACAAACTTCAAAGAGTGGAAACTGGTGGTGAACGAAATTGTCCGATTCACAAAGGTGGATTTTACCTCATTGGTTGTTAGGCCTTTGCGGTATTGTGCTATGTTTGATTCATATCCATTGTCTCGACCTTATGTGGCCCGCTTCCATGCTAAGAAGGTCCTGAAGTTTCAAGATGCAGTGCTAACTAGCTATCATAAAAATGAGGTACTAATAAATGCTTTTGCTTCTCTGGTGTATCACTGGGTTTAAATTGGTTTTTATAAGCTTGCCTTTGTTTCATTTCAGGTCAAGTTTGCAGAACTAACTTTAGATACTTTTAGAATGCTCCAATGCTTGGAATGGGAACCCAGTGGTTCTTTCTATCAGAAGACAGCCATTGAACCACAAGAGAATGGGGCACTGGCTGACCATTCCTTGACATCTGGACTGATTGATATAAATTTGGCTGCCGACATGATGGATCCAGATCTTCCTTCAAATCCTAAAAAAGCCACGCTTTATCGCCCTTCAGTTGCACAATTGATAGCAGTGAGTACTGAAGTTTTTGCCTTTATATTTTGTTATTCGTACAATCTTGCTCAAGTTCTTCGTTGATTTCTAGGAAAGTAGTGGTTCTGATCAATGAATGAGAACAACTGATTTTGCATGTCAGGACAGTTTGAATTGTAGATTGAGTCTTCTCTTGCTTTCTGTGTGCTTCTGTAAATACCATCATATGAAATAAGGCCAATCTACTTTACATATGCCTGGGAATTTTCAAGTCATAACTGATGTACATTTGTTTTAGCACTAAAATACATCTGAAATCCTTTTGGTGTATACCTAGTCATATTCATCTTTGCTTGGTTACTCATATGCTGCAGGTCATTGCCACAATATGTGAGGAGCTTCCTCCAGAAAGTGTGATCTTATTATACGTCTCTGCATCAGGTTACCATTCTTTTACTATTTTTTTTTTCACAGCCAGCGGTGCATGTTGTGACCATGCCAGGAAACTCATACTTGTGCTCTGCTTTTAGGGAGTTCTGGTCAGAGTAGTCCAACACAGATGGAGAACTCTATACGTTCAAGAAAATCTTCGAAGCCCACTGCTCATTCTCATACTTCTCATGAACAGAATAGGTCTCTGCATGAAAACCATATCAGTTGCAATGGAGATTCAAATCCCTATTTTGAGAACTATTTGTGGTTTGGTCCTAGCAGAAATGGAGGTACCACAGTGGATGAACCCTTTTTCTGTTTGTGGCTCTTAATTTTGGTAATCTCATTTGATATCCTTTTGGATATTTTCAGTCCCAAACAACCTATATCCAGGGGATCTAATTCCTTTTACGCGAAGGCCTCTTTTCATAATCATTGATAGTGACAACAGCCATGCATTCAAGGCAGGTTTGTCAAAACTTTGTGTATCACATAGTCCAATTACAAAGCATACCAGCTAGCTGTTTGTCAACACTCTGTGTAGTACGGATCAACAATTTAGATGTGATAGTGACAAAATCATATTCATCTCTTAATTAAATTCTTTTAATTGGTCATGTGAGCCACTTTACTTAATTTAAAGGATGCACTTATAGAATTAAGAAGAGAATATTTGTTGTTCTCTATTGGCTGATATACTGATTGCATATATTGATGCTTCACTCTTCAGGTTCTGCAAGGAGCTGAACGAGGGGAAAGATGTGCTTTACTTCTATCTCCTTTGAGGCCATCATTTAAGAACCCAAGCACTGATGTAATCCATGATGGAAATCAGTTCACCTTGTTCTTGGCTGCTCCTTTACAGGCTTTCTGCCATTTGGTTGGCCTCAAATTATCTGAAAAAGATCTTGTAAGTTAATTGTAGAACTGATACTCTTCAAAGAGATTGTAGTTTAATCTTATTCATGTGTGGGCTTTATTCCAGGATGTTTATGATTCTGCTGATGAAATAATCTCTACTGCATTTTCTGAATGGGAGGTAATGCTCTGCACAACTCCGAGCCTAGACTTGGTTTGGGCTCAAGTATTGTCTGATCCACTTCTGCGTCGGCTTATTCTAAGGTAATTGTCTTAATTGTGTTTGTCGAGATCATCATCTTTCTTTCAGGTCATAATTAACCTGATTTTTCCTAACATTTTGATGTCATCTTATGTCTTTAACTATAAACAACCAAAAATCGCATTAGCCAAAAACAAGCATTTACTATTAGTGACATCAGTAGTTTTATGTTTAAAATATCTAACTGAACAATTTTTTAAAAATATTTTACCAGATTTATTTTCTGTCGCGCCGTGCTTACTCTATTTTGCCTTCGCGAAGAAAATGACCACTATTTGCCTGTTTGCCTCCCTGAGCTTCCCGATTCATTTTCTCCGTACTCTGAATCCATACAGCCAACTATCAGGCGACTCGCTAATCATCTCAAGGTTGCAGATTGTTTTCATCTTCGTTAATTCAGTTGTTACAGAGGGAATTTACGATAGATTGTACCATAATGGGTATAGCGATGGCATAATTGACGGAGTTCGAAGTGAAAATACTAGTTTTTTTGCTGGTGTTGGATTAGCTGAAAAACGTACAGGGTCTTCAGTTGAGTTGATGTGCAGAAGTTGGGGACCTTTTTTTTTTTTTTTAAATTATTATTTTAGTCTTGCCTGATAGCTTTTATACCGGAATCATTTGTTTATTTTACTTTGATTGTGATATCTATTTATTTTAATTTAATGGTGATATATTCTGCCAGTTCTGTAATGGGTGATCTTTTTTTGGGCGGATTGTAGACATGTATTAGTTTCACTTTTCTTTACAAGTGAGAAAATTGTTCATACCTCTGTAATATAGGAGGAGGGCATCTGAAGTATTTGTATTTTTTTTTTGTTGATCTTGTAACAATAATGTATCCTTAAGTAGCAGGTACCATGTTTCAGTTAATGAATATTTATTGAGACTTAGAAATTATTACTGATTTTGCTTAGTTCTTCCCAAACTTTAAATTGTTTAAAGTGAGGTTTGAACCCTTAACCTTGGGTTGGCTGCTTTATGGGATTTGATTTGTGGTTTAGTTGGATTTAAAAAAAAAAAAAAAAAAAAAAAACAATAATAATAAAGAAAGCTCATGAGTTGCTCTATTTCAAATTATGCCCCTATTTTACTCCTGATAATAGGCGTGAATAAAGTTCATTAAAAAATTTTTTACAACTTATTCAGTGATTAATTTTTATTTTTTATTTTTTATTTTTGACCGAATTATCACTTATACTTTTTTCTCAAATTCTTTGGATATAATTTTTTTTTCTGATATTTTTTCCAAATTATCCCTTAATTAATCACAAATTTGGAAAAAAATTATCTGTATCAGTATAAGGGGTAATTTGAATTTTATTCATGACTATTATCAGTAAAATATTTATAACCCAGAGAATTTGAGAAAAAAATATAAGGGGTAATTTGAAAAAACTGTGAAAATAGTATTAGAAAATAATTAGGGTAGGACAACCCAATTAAGTTGATCATATTATTGACTTAATTATCACAATATTATAATTTTAACTCATACTAGAGTGTCCTATTGACATTCTTAATCTGAATCAATAGCTGAGCAATGTTGATTTATATACTAACCTTTTACCTGTTGAAATCAAACTCTTGAACACGAGTTGTGAATTTTCATCTATCACTAAAAAAAAAAAATAATGACCAATGAAGATACGTATCTCAACTAAGTGACTATTTCCGTTATGACGGAGAATCTATGTATGGAGAAGTACCCGCCGCGCCAACCTCGGACTTCTTCCAAACCAGAACCTCTCAACCAACGAACTTTCTTTCCATTTCTCTCTCGGCCAAACCACACAAAATTCAAACAAATTAAACACAATACGACCGTGGATTTACTCCTGATCTTACAAACACAAACATCGGAGCGGATGTCGTACGAGGAGGAGGAATCACCGCACATCTTCCCATAATGTTACGTTCAAAATCAAGGTACCTACAAAACATCACTTTTCTCAACCTTCTTAATTAGGTTCCTTTCTTTTCTTTTTCGTTTCATGCCAACAAGTTATGTGTATGTATTGCATATAACTTGTTTGATCCTCCATAGTTTTTTTTAAACGTCTTGATTAGTGTTTAGGCTTTTCTGGAATTCATTTCGTGTGATTCTAGATCTGGGCCAGAGGACCCATAATTCCTCCATCTTTACCAGGACGATTCCTGCTTCCAGGTTTTGCAGAGGCGATGCGTTGACCTCTCAGATTGATTCCAACGCCCTTGTTTCTCTCCCACGCCAATCTTCTAAAACCAAACATTTATCCCAGGTATCCTAATTTGTTTTTAATCCATGACTTTTTGTATGGACGGACTCTGATACCAAATTAAAATATGTGATTCATCTTACTAAAAGTCTAAGCTGATATATATATTATTTGCAGGAGGAGGGGGTGAGGGCTGAGGGAGATGAGAGAAAGAAACGAAGCTGTGGATAAAATGGAAGAACAGGAGGATTACAGGACATTGAAGACCAATTTGTTGAGTGTGCAAGAAGAATTGAAGGCGAAAGACAAGGTCATCCAGGCTCTGAGAACGGAGGTGGTAAGGGCGAGAGGGTTGGAGGCTAAGCTGGCGGAGAGAGACGTAGGGTTAGGGAGATTGAGGGAGGAGCTGAGTAACGCGAAGCTGCGGGAGGGGCACGCCAGGGATTTGGTGGCAGATCACAGGAGGCGAATTCACGAGCTAGACGATGAAATCGAGAACAGGAAGGTGTCCGAATCCAAGATTTATGATTTGTTAGCGTCCCAGACGAAGAAGTTCGAGGAGAGCAAGATCGAGCTGGAAGAATCTAAGCTGGAAATGGCAGCGCTTCTCAGGAAGGTGGAGTTTCTGGAAGCTTCTTCCAAGAACCCTAGTGTTAATAATGGATCATTTGACCACATTGGGGAAGATTATTTCCAGGCAAAATCAGAGAACTGGGACGAAGAGAATGAAGAGGAGGCAGGGGACAACTTCGTTTCGCTCAAGAATGAATTGAAGCAGGCAATGGAGGCAGAAGAAAGGACCAGAAAGGCGATGGACGATTTAGCATCGGCGTTGAAGGAAGTCGCAACAGAAGCCGCGGAGGCAAAGAAGAAAAGCAGCATTACCGAACTAGAACTCAACCATCTAAAAGAGCAAACTGAGAATTTAAAAGAGACGCTTAAGATGACAGAAGAAAATTACCAGAATCTCTTGGAGGAGGCTAATAAGCAAACAGAGCTTCACATCAACACCATAGATCGGCTGACATTAGAAGCCGAGGAATCGCTCCTGGCCTGGAACGGCAGAGAGATGGGATTCGTTAGCTGCATAAAGAAGGCGGAGGAAGACACCGTGAAACTCACCACAGCTCTCATGGAAGCGGAGGAGGCGACAATGGCCGCCCGCGAAGAAACAAAGCAAGCCAGAGACATACTGAAACAGGCCATCAACGAAGCTAACGCCGCAAAAGCCGCCGCGGATATCGCGCGAGTAGAAAACTCGCAGCTCAAAGATAACCTAGCGGAAATGGAGGACGCGCTGCAATTCCTGTCGCGCGAGAACGAGCGCCTGAGGATCAACGAAGCCGCCGCCAACGAGAAAGCGGAGCCGCCCAAACAAATGATGACGTCGTCGTCGTCTTCATCTTCACTGCAATTGCCGCCCCACGACCACAAACTCAACGCTAAGAAGCACAAGAGAAGGCCTTCGAAGATCACGACGGAAGACTGCAGCGACAAAAGCGAAGACGATGAATATGCGGAAGCAAGTGGCGGCGCCGGCGCCGAACAAAAGGCCGCGGCGGCACCGAAAGCACAAAGCGATGGAGGAGTAACTACAGAAGACGATCAGGATTCAGATGTTGAAAAGTCGTCTCATAGAAGAAGAAGAGGAGCTATATTTCGCAAAGTTGGAGACCTAATTCTCAGGAGGAATTTCAGTATTAGCAGAAAAGAGCCTTCTCCGGAGCCAACTCTCAATGAGAATACCTCCATCGTCAAAGCCTGATGATTCTCTTCTCTTATATGACTCAGAAAATAATTAAAATTATAGGCCTCTCTTATATATACACTTAATTGTATTTTTATTTATATAATAATAATATATACACTTGTACATTTATTTATTTTTGTTGGTGAGGGCATTTGGCTATTTATTGTGAAAATCCCGTAACTGCTCGAGTATACAGGTAAATCTCGTGACCTTATTCGACAAATGACTATTAGGTCTTTATGGATGAGAGTTGAACAATTCATGAACACTTGTGTTGATGCTTTGCTCTTTTCTCTCAATTATATATTTATAAACGTCAAAGTACAAACATATTTGGAGAATCTTAGTCAAAATATTCCAATTAACCTCAGTTTAAGATCGGAGTTGATTAACCTATATATGGCAATGTTGTTTTCAATATGCAACCAAGTTTGCAGGTTGCCAGCTATTGACCACTCTGCAGTTTCTTCTAATCTCTCCCGGCCTCCCAGATTGAAGATCACCCATTTTTATCATCCCTTCAACAAAAGCCTCAAAGAATGCACTCTCATTTCTTCTATACTGCATCACATACCCTCTAGTCTCACGGGTGGTGAAAAGTGATTCATCTGAATTCAGAAATCCTCTCCCATTCACCAAGTCCTTGAAATACTGGTTGTCGAATACTTGAGGTGTGGCGTCTAAGTCCCCCGTTACATTTCCATCCCCGCCCAGTGGGCAAAGCTTGTCCAGCTTTTCCCTGAAGTTTGGCTCAATGGCCGGGTCAGGCCGTCCTGTCCCCGATTGGTTGTACAACCGAAACACAATGGAAAAACACCTTCCCTGACCAATGGAATGAGACCCTGAAAGTGCTACTAGATCTTTCACTGACAGATTTAATCCGCTAAACAGATCAATGAGGGTGGTTGCATCTGCTCTAGGGCTTGGCATGATATTGTCTGCATCTTCTTGGCTTGCTGTTAAGCTGTCTATCCTTCCCAGCTTTACTTCCCAGTTAGGTCCTCCACTCTGCATTCACACCAAATTATAAAGTAAAATACTATATATACTTTTAATCTTATAAGCAAAATCTTTGAGATATACACTTATATTGAGACTCACATTATAAACAAAAAAATAAAAAATAATAAATAATAAAAAAATAATAATAAAAAAAACTTATCAGTTGCACTAAAATAATATAGGAATAAGGGTCAAATAGGCCATCGAATTGCACACGATAATGCAATTAGGTCACTGAACCTAAAAAAACAACAATTAGGTCCCTAAACTAACCAATTTCAAACAATTCTTCTAATTTATAGGTTTCCAACAAGTTAACCGGTCATCATCCCAAATTAATTATTTTTTAAAAAATAAAATTTAAAAATTAATTATTTAAATAATTAAAAAAAAAAACAGAATTCAGCCGATCTGTTTTTTTTTTTTAAAAAAAAATTTAATAATTAATTTTTAAATTTTATTTTTAAAAAAATAATTAATTTGGAGGATGACCTATTGACTTGTTGGAAACCTTCAAATTGGAAGAATTGTTAGGAATTGATAAGTTTAAGCACTCAATTATTGATTTTTTTGGTTCAGTGACCTAATTGTATGACATGTGCAGTTTGATGACCTATTTGACCCTTATTCCAAATAATAAACTATATCAACTTTTTCCATCCATATATAGATGCCTCTATGAATCTATGCAGGCAGGATTTGCACTCAACCATTAATTTATCCTCTGCAATATGACAGTTAATTGATACCATTTGAAAATTGATACATGACACTCAAATGGAATTTAAGAGATCTTAGATCAAGAAAGTAAAATGACAATTTCCCAATTCTCCTCACCTTATTTTCTTGTTAACTACTCATACAATTGACCATGGTTCACACAGAAAAAAGTTGCTTTGGACTTTCTGAAAAATGACTTCTCAAAAAAAAAAAAAAAGTTTCGTTTTCCTTTTGACTGAAAATCAATTTTCGTTGATCATCATTTTCTCCTCTTGCCAAACAACAAAAAAAATCAAAAAATAATTTTCTGAAATCATTTTCCGAAATTTCAAACACAGCTTTAGTGAAAATGAAACTAAAATAGAGTTCGTATCGCGGTACACCATAGGCAATTTATATTGTGGACTCTAGTCCAATACATATAATTTGACTTAATAATGTAAACAATTAATGTTCATAATGTATAGAATTTATATTCATAATACACATACACATAAACACAATATAATGAAAATACGTAAACACTTAACATAATACCCAGAATTTATGTTCAAAACGTATATAATCAATGTTCATTATATCATGTTTATGTGTATATGTATTATGAATATAAATTTTATGCATTATAAACATGAATTTTATACTTTATAAGGTCAAATTATGTGTATTGGATAACGATTGTACACCATAAAGGTGCTAAAATTCATAGGCACGATCCAAAGTAATGGCCTTTTTCCTCGAGAAAAAGATCCGACCCAACATCTTCTTTTACTCTTTTTTTTTCTTTCCCTTTTTAGATAACAAATTTTGCAGCGTAATTGAGAAGATTTACCAGAACAACAGCATCTCTGGCAGCCATGATTATGATATCAGCACAGGAAACAACCCCAGGACAGGCCATCTCCACAGCTTCCTTAACTTCATCAACAACTTCATATGACCTCAGCGAATTTATATTCGACAAACAAAGCTTCTCTCCCAACATGTCCGGCGTATCATCCAACAACAACGACGCATCGCATCCCTAAATATCAAGGCAACAGAATCAGATTACCAAAAATCTGAGCTAATAACACTGAAATTAACCTCGGAATCTATGGCTTACGTTAACAAAGCAATCGTGAAACTGCAAGCGCATCACTGAGGCGGCGCTTCTGGGCTCTTTTTCCATGTTCCTCTTGATCACGCCCCTGACAATCTCCTCCGCCTCTGGACACGTCTCGGAGTAAAATCCGGGCCGGAGCTCCACGATCTCCGCTTGGATCGCGGAGAGGTTGAGGAGGAAGAAGATGACCAGTGTTGTATACATCTTTAGCAGCACTGATTTTGGCGGGTATGGAAAAATGGCGAGTAAGAATACAGAGTGTGTTCGTATTCTCGTATGTATAGAAGGAGGTTATGGGATTTGGCTGGAAAAGTAGACAATTGACTGATGGAAAAAAAATCTTCGAGCAACAGTTTGTAAAATACTTAGTTTATTTATTTGACCACTATTAGCACTTTGATTTGATTAAAAGATTAATATAGATGTTTGGTTAATTAATTTTTTTTTAACTCCAAAATGTTAAAATTAAAAAAAGTTACTCCAAACAACTTTTTCAATTAACTTTTTGATAAAAGATATTATACCAAACAGCTATCAACTATCAGCTAACCTAATTACCAAACACCTTCTACAATCAGTTAATGTTATTAATTAGTTATACCCTCTAATTAAATCCAATCAGTTAACATCTAACATCTAACAACTATCAGCTAACAATCATTTACCAAATAAGGTCAAATCTTATCTGTCGCTTATCTTTTACGCTGTATTTTCTAAAGATTTGAGAAAAAAAAAATAACCTAAGATCTCAAACTTGAAGTATAATTAGATTATATTATTGAATTATAAATTTTTTGGGTACATAATATTGCATATATGTTTTTTAAAAATGTGTATTTATAGAAAATGTTCTAGTATTGTATATAAAAATGTTGTAATTCCATAATAAAAACTAAAAAGTGAAACATATTCAGTCAATTTCGTAATTTATTTAGGACAGTTCTAACTAAATAAAGTTCAATAACTCCGGAGGGTGAATTTGATTCTTGAAATTAGGGAATGGAATATGTGACTAAGTGCAACAATATCAGCACATAATATTGGGAGAATGTCAATAAAATAACATGGGCGGGGTTAATTCATGATTTATTTCTCCAACAAATGTTGCATATTTGTGGGCCCCGCTATTTGAGAGAAACGATGAAAGCAACTTAATTGTTGCGCGTGGAGCGCAACCAACGCGCACAGTGGGCAAAATGCATTGTTCTCTTGTTCACTTCATTCTGTGCGCGTTCTTTACTTCACTGTGATTTTTTTTATTTTTTTTTTACTTTTCTGATTTAGGTGTCAGATTTATATATTTTTTCCTTTTTTATTTTTTCTTCTCTTTTCTTCTTGCACTATTTCTCTTTCCTAGGTGTAACTTAAAAAACTGTGAAAGAAATGGAGCTGATATGGATGCTCTAAGAGCAACATAGAAGAATAGAGAGTTATTTCACATCTTTTCTTTTGAGGTCAAAAATGCCAAGTTGGAAGAGAGAGACGCAAGAGAGAGATAGAGGGTGGGGTGCTTCTGCAACTACCGAGTTATTTCTCTTCCCAATGGAAAGAAATAAATGAGGAAAGAGTAGTTGTTGTGCGCGTTTCGTGCCCAGCAATTGCCACGCCGGGCACGTCAGGCGTGCCCCATTAATTTTTTGTTTTCTTTTTTAAAATCAGTTTTGGTTTTTTTTTTTTTTCTTTTTTCTCTCTTCCCTCTCATATTCTCTTTTCCTAATCACACTTACAAAAACTTCTCAAAAATTGCAAAATAACTCCACCAATGTGGATGCTCTAATGATCCTTCGAAATATTGAAAAAATTAATCATATTTTTTCTTTTTAGATATACCTCATGACATGGTACATGTAATAAATTTGGGTTGAGACGGATCCTAACTTCCCACTTAGGTCCTCCACTCTGCATCCACACCAAAAATGTACACACTATTGTAACTTACTTTTAAATACAAATCTTACTTGCTTGGATTTTATAAAGGAAAATACTATATGTACTCTCAATTTTTAATTTCACACACAAAATCTTGAAGTAGACACTTGTATTAGGATCCACATAAAATAAAAGTAGATTAACATCCACATGTGTGCACCGGCATTTGGCCCTGTCTACTAACACATTGAGTCACCGCGATTTACATCCTCCCACATGCTCTGTCGGGTCAGAGTGTGAGGGACCCTTAGGGTTGGGGATTCAACCTTTGGGATAAGATTATTATCTACATCAGTAAAAATTTTAGGAAGTAAAATTTGAGAGTCCTTGTAATAAAACTCTTTTATAACCTGTATCAACTTTTCCCATATATATAGATGCCTCTATGAATCTATGCAGGCAGGATTTGCACTCAGCCATTAATTTATCCTCTGCAATATGACAGTTATTTGATACCATTTGAAAATTGTTACATCTGACACTCAATGGAATTAAGAGATCTTATATCAAGAAAGTAAAATGACAATTTCCCAATTCCCCTCACCTTATTTTCTTGTTAACTACTCATACAATTGACAATGGTCCAAAAAAAAAAAAATACTTTTGAATTTTCTGAAAATTGATTTCCTAAATAAAGAAGAAGTCATTTTTTGAAAAAAATAAGCCTTTTTTTTTTCTTTTTGACCGGAAATCAATTTTCGTTGATCATTATTTTCTCCCCTTGCCAAACTAAGAACCCAAAAAAATAATTTTTCAAAATCATTTTCAGGAATTTCAAACACAGCTTTAGTGAAAAATGAAACTAAAATAGAGTTTGTATCGTAGTACACCATAGGCAATTTATATTGTGGACCTGGTCCAATACACATAATTTGACTTTACAATGTACAAAATTCATGTTCATGATGTACAGAATTTATGTTCATAATACACATACAAAATTCATGTTCATGATGTACAGAATTTATGTTCATAATACACATACACATAAACACGATATAATAAAGACACATAAACACTTAACATAATACACAGAATTCATATTCATAATGTACAAAATTCATGTTCATTATATCATGTTTATGTATATGTGTATTATGAATATAAATTTTGTGCGCATGAATTTGTACTTTATGATGTCAAATTATATGTATTGCGCAAATTATGCCATGGAATCGTGTTCACCGAGAATGGTGAACACAAGGCAAAACGACGTCGTTTTTAGGCAAAAAAAAAAATAAAAATCGCGGATGTGGAGTTAACGGCGCGCGTTTGATCAAATTATGAATTTTCTGTTATGAGATTATGAATTTTATGAAAATTCATAATCGCATAACAGAAAATTCATAATCGCATAACAGAAAATTCATAATCGCATAACAGAAAATTCATAATCGCATAACAGAAAATTCATAATCGCATAACAGAAAATTCATAATCTCACAACTGAAAATTCATAATCTCATAACAGAAAATTCATAATCTTATAACAGAAAATTCATAATCTCATGGTTCCAAAGTGAATGTGTAGGCATGGTTCCAAAGTGAATGTGCAGGCATGGATTCATAATTTATGAATGTCCGTGATTTCGGATGGGAATATGTAGGCATGGTTCCAAAGTGAATGTGCAGGCATGAATTCATAATTTATTAATGTCCGAAATTATGAATGTAATGAAAATTCATAATCTCATAACAGAAAATTCATAATCGCATAACAGAAAATTCATAATCTCATAACTGAAAATTCATAATCTCATAACAGAAAATTCATAATCTCATGGTTCCAAAGTGAATGTGTAGGCATAGTTCCAAAGTGAATGTGCAGGCATGAATTCATAATTTATGAATGTCCGAAATCTTTGTTCACCTCAAATTAAAGTGAAACCGCAAAATGTGAAAATAAAGAAAAAAAGTCACGCAATTAATTAAGAAAAAAAAAAAAAAAAAGATAACGGTGTACTAACACCTTTGGAACCGTGTTCACCATGAATGGTGAATGGTGAACACGGTTCCATGGCATAACGTCTGTATGTATTGTACCCTGGTCCGCGATATTGTACACCATAATGGCCTTTTTCCTCGAGAAAAAAGATCCAACCCAACATCTTTTTTTACTTTTTTTTTTCTTCCCCTTTTTTAGATAACAAATTTTACAGCGTAAATGAGAAGATTTACCAGAACAACAGCATCTCTGGCAGCCATGATTACGATATCAGCACAGGAAACAACACCAGGATAGGCTATCTGCACAGCTTCCTTAGTTTCATCAACAACTTCATATGACCTCAACGAATTTATATTCGACAAACAAAGCTTCTCTCCCAACATGTCCGGCGTATCATCCAACAACAACGACGCATCGCATCCCTAAATATCAAGGCAACAGAATCACATAACCAAAAATCATAGCTAATAACACTGAAATTAACTCCGGAATCTATGGCTTACGTTAACAAAGCAGTCGTGAAACTGCAAGCGCATCACTGAGGCGGCGCTTCTGGGCTCTTTTTCCATGTTCCTCTTGATCACGCCCCTGACAATCTCCTCCGCTTCTGGACACGTCTCGGAGTAAAATCCGGGCCGGAGATCCACCATCTCCGCCTGGATCGCGGCCAAGTTGAGGAGGAAGCAGATGATGAATGTTATATACATCTTTAGCAGCACTGATTTTGGCGAGTATGGAAAAATGGCGAGTAAGAATATAGAGTGTGTTCGTATTCTCACATATATATAGAAGGAGGTTAGAGCAACATTATCAGTTAGGAAAAATGTGGGGAGAATGTAAGAGTGGTTAGGAAAAATGACGTGAGAGGGGAGATGGAAAAAAAATGAAACAAAATTGATTTTAAAATAAATAAAAATAAAAATATATATATAATAATGATAGTCAGGTGCCAGCGGGCGCGTGCCGTGCTGGGTGCACTCATGACAGCCACGATTGGCTAACACGTTTGGTTCCTTTTGTGCTGGGTCCCACCATGCTGCCATTCTCTCAATTTTTGCATAAGAGCATCTACATCAGTGCATATTTCACCAATTTTAAGGTTAAAAGTGTCAACATGGAGGAGAGATGGGTGGAGAGAGAAACATTTTGCTCTTCCTGCAAGTGAAGAGTTATTTCTCTTCCCAAGACATGGATGAGAGAGGGGTGGAGAGAATTATTCTGTTTCTGTCACAACATTCTTTTTCTTTTTATTTTCAACATTCTCTCACATTCTCTTTCTTAATCACTCTTACATTCTCCCCCTAATATCCCCAACTGATAATGTTGCTCTAAAAGTAATGCATTCTCCCCACTTGCTCTCCTGGTGTGGATGCTCTTATGGGATTTGGCTGGAAAAGCAGACAATTGACGGATGGAAAAAAAAAAACTTCGGGACATTTTGGTAAAATAGTTAGTTTATAGGTCAATTTTGACTTATTTGACCACTATTAACTCTTTGACTTGGTTAAAAAATTAATATAAATGTTTGGTTAATGTAACTTCAAGATGCTAAATTTTTTTTTTAAAAAAAAAAAAGAAAAAAAAAAGAAGCTACTTTAAACAACTTTTTCAATTAGTTTTTTTACAAAACACCTTCTACAATCATCTAATGTTATCAATTAGTTATACCCTCTAATTAACTCAATCAGCTAACATCTAACAGCTATCAGCTAACAACCATTTACCAAACATGGCCAAATCTTGTCTGTCGCTTATCTTTTACGCCGTATTTTTTAAAGATTTGAGAAAAAAAATTAACCTAAGATCTCAAACTTGAAGTATAATTAGATTATACTATTGAATCATAAATTTCTTGGGTACATACATATACACATAATATTGCATATATGTTTTTAAAAAAATGTGTATTTATAGAAAATGTTACAATATTGTATATAAAAAGGTAGTAATTCCAAGGGAAAAGTGAAACATATTCACCAATTTCATAATTTATTTAGGACAATCTCAGCTAAATAAAGTTTAACAATTTCGGAGGGTGAATTTGATTCTTGAAATTAGTTGGAGGAAAGAGATGCAAAAAAGAGAAGGGGTGGGGAGCTTATGTAACTACCGAGTTCTCTTCCCAGGAGAAGAGAAATAAATGAGGAGAGAGCAGTTGCTATGCGCGTACTGGGGGCACGTCGGGCGCGCAACTACCGAGTTATTTCTCTTCCCAGGAGAAGAGAAATAAATGAGGAGAGAACAGTTGCTATGCGCGGCACAGCAACTGCACGCGCCTGGGGTGCGTCGGGCGCGCAACTACCGAGTTATTTCTCTTCCCTTTTCTCTTCCCAAGGGAAGAGAAATAAATGAGGAGAGAGCATTTGCTTGCACGGGCCTGGGGGCGCGTCGGGCGCGCAACTACCGAGTTATTTCTCTTCGCAATGGAAGAGAAATAAATGAGGAGAGAGCAGTTGCTATGCGCGTACGCGCACAGCAACTGCACGCGCCTGGGGGCGCGTCGGGCCCGCAACTACCGAATTATTTCTCTTCCCAAAGGAAGAGAAATAAATGAGGAGAGAGCATTTGCTATGCGCGTACGCGCACAACAACTGCACGCGCCTGGGGGCACGTCGGGCGCTCCTGACAAGTCCATTAATTTTTTTTTCTTTTTTAAAATCAGTTTTGGTTTTTTTTTTCTTTTTTTCTCTCCTTCATCATCTTCTCTTTCCTAATTACACTTACAAAAACTCCTCAAAAATCACAAAATAACTCCACCAATGTGAATGCTCTAATGATCCTTCGAAATATTGAAAAAAATAATTCTATTTTTTCTTTTTAGATATACCTCATGACATGGTACATGTAATAAATTTGGGTTGAGACGGATCCTAAATGCCCACTTGCAAGTTGCAAGTACGTGACATTACTTATGTATATCTACTATCTACTATCTATCTACTATCTACTATATACTAATAAGAGCCCAAGAGAGTTAGGCCTATAATGGGTAGAAAAAATAGCGGTCACAGATTTTAATCAAATGAATGGCTCAGATTGATTAAACGATTGATCATATTTAAATTTTACACTAAAATTTCTTAAAATACCCACACACCGTTACTAATTCCGTTAAAAATTTAAGAATTGCCGTTAGTTCACCGTTAACTTACTCATTGATTTCAATAAAAAAAAAGTCTTAAGTTCGAACCTCATCCCAATCAAAGTTGGCATAATTAGTACTCTATTTTACTTTTATTAAATTATATTATATAAATAATAATTTAATAGTTACAACAAAAAATAATACATATGCATTTCTTTAATTTAGAATTATGTGTCCACAATGCCTTTATTCAAAAAAAAATATTCATTATCAATAAATTAAATAAGAGAAATGATTTTATTAGTTATATTGTCTTTATTTTTCTTCAATATAAAAATTCTTTATATTCAAATTTATTAATTGACTATATTCGCTACATTGTCCTTACAATGTCTTTATTCAGTGAAAAAAATTATTAATTATCAATAAATTAATTAAAAGAAATATTTTCATTAGTTATATTGTCTTTATTTTTCTCAAATGTAAAAATTTTTACATTCAAATTCATCAATTGATTATATTCACTACATTATCTATTATCTTTTTTGTGCACTATTTTTCTAATTAAATATCAAAGCTATAATACAAAATAATGCTATAATAAATAATTTTTTTGAATAAAGAAATTGTAGATACATAATTCTAAATTAAAGTAATGCATATGTATTATTTTTTGTTGTAGCTAGTAAATTATTATTTATGCCAACTTTGATTGGGATGTGGTTCGAACCTAAAACCTTCTTATTGGAATCAATGAGTAAGTTAACGGTGAACTAACAGAAATTAACGGAAAAGACAATATTTAACGGAAAAGTTAACGGATAATCATATTCATTAAGGATAAATTAGGAAATCTTAAGGAAAAATTAAAATCTGATTAATCTGAGCCATTCATTTGATCAAAAAATTTGACCGCCATTTTTTCTACCCATTATAGGCCTAACTCTCTTGGGCTCTTATTAGTATATATAGTAGATAGATATAGTAGATACATTTGACAGAAATGTCAAATAGGTCCATCTACTACTGTGAAGTGCTCAATTCGCACCACGAACTAAACTAAAGTCTAATCAGCCACTTACCAACTAAATTTGTCAGATCCACTTTTTTTGCAGGTTGCTAACCTGTTGCCTATTCACTTATTAAAAAATAAAAATAAAAAAATAATACAAAAAAAAAAAAAAAGGAATTTCAGCCGCCGGCTGTCCGGCGAGGACAGCCGGTGGCTGCGTATTTCACAAACAGCCGTGGCTGTCCGGCTGTCCGACTGTCAAACATGAGGTCCAGATTTGGACCTCATGTTTGACAGTCGTGGCTGTCCGGTGGCTAAAATTCATTTTATTTATTTATTTTTAATAATTGAATATGTAACCGGTTAGCAACCTGCAAAAAAAAAAAGCCAATCGAACAAATTTAGTTGGTAAGTGTGATTAGATTTTAATTTAGTTCGTGGTGAGAATTGAGCACTTTACAATAATAGATGAGCATATTTGACACTTCTACCTTTCCATTTTATATATGGTCCACAAAAAAATTTGTCTTATAAATATAAATCCAAATAAATAGAGTGGAATAACAATCGATATGCTATGGACCTGTGTCCAACATGCATTGTGGACACGGTAACGGTGCCGTTAGTGGCACTGTTATCTTCCATCATTTTTTAAAAAATTTCAGACCACTTTGTTATATGAGCATATGTTTATAATTTTATTACTATATGTTCATAATGTCAGAGCTCTGTGTTCATAATTCCATAACTGTACATTCATAATTGCATAACTGTACATTCATAATTCCGTAACTATAAATTCATAATTCATAATTTTCGAAGCTCTATGTTCACAATTTTAGAGCTCTATGTTCATAATTTTATCACTATATGTTCACAATTTTAGAGCTCTGTGTTCATAATTCCATAACTTACATTCATAATTCCATAACTGTACATTTATAATTCCATAACTGTACATTCATAATATCACAAGCGAGTAATGCTGTTAACGACGAGACAAAATCATTTTTTTTAACTGAAAGACCGTATTTTCTCTGAAAACGACGTCGTTTTGGACTCGTGCCCACAATATATTGTGGATATTGTGGGCACGAGTCCACAGCATAATTTGCGGTGGAATAATAATTGGGCCTAGATAAAGAGGGCCTTGAGCAATTTCAGTTATTTACTTTTTTTTGCACGTTAAAGTCCAAAAAGAAAAAAGCGGTCTTAAACCTCAAACATCTTCCCGCAACCTTCTCTTCCTTTCTGCGTCGTGGAGGGGAGTTTCTACAGCGGACGAAAATGGGAGGCAGGGGGAGGTCTCGCACTCAGAGGAAGCATTTCCGACAAAGCAGAGACAACGTATGGAAACGAAGCAAATTCGATGCTCAACAGCCGTCGGACAACTCCACCACCGCCGACGCCGGCGAGAACGACAACAGGAACCGCAACCCTGCTTGGGAGCCTTTCGCCACTCAGAACCCCGCTTTTGATGAGTATTACAAGGTATATAGTTGCTTAGTGCTAACACTTAGCATGCTTGCTGATTTCCATGGATGTGTCTGTGTTTGTACACTGTGAAGTTAGAATGTAATGTGATGTGATGCGGTTGCTGAATGGTAGGAACAAGGAATAGTTCCGCCGGAAGAGTGGGACAGGTTCAATGAATATCTCCGGAGTCCATTG